GAAAATTTGTGATTTTTTTTTTTTAATCCATGATTGATTTTTTTGAAAATTTGTTTTTTTTTTTTTAATCTATATTATTCAAAGAGAAAATGAGAGAGATGATGATTTTGAGGCCACCCTATCCCAGCCATATTATTCACATATCGAGTCCCAACAGCAACAGTGTAGGGATGAGCGCGACAGTGCAGGTGAGCATGAAGGATGGATAATCTTCGGGGATTTTGGATTGGGAACACAACAAAACACTAACACTCAGGGATTTGGGAATAGTCAGACGCCTACTAATATCATTCGTTTTTAGATCGAATCAATGAATTGTTAAACGAATTCAATCAATGGCACCAACGTGACCAAGAAGAACAATAACGTCGTCTATCATTTTATTTTTAGATCATATGTTACTAATTTTATGCTTTATTGTAGTCCATATATGTTGATATACTTATTCCATGATAATTATATGTTTATCCTTTTGTGTGATGTAAATTAAATGCTGAATGGCGATTCATGTAGGGAAAGAACATATCAATATTCGCATATTCATTCAAAAACATGAAAATTCTTAATGGAGTACCTTCATTTCTTATTGAATTCCTAAAAAACAATATTTATAATGAATTTTAATAATTTTTTCGGATTTTTTTTAAGTTTTATTCTGACCGATTCACCTGATTCGCCGATCCGGATCGCCGATTCGCCGATCCGGATCGGTTTTTTGGAAGCCCGATCCGAATCACCGATCCGTTTTTTAAACCATCGGTCTCACGGCATACATCCCCTATCCGAGATAAAAAATGCTACGTTGACTCTCTCTAACCCTAAAATCTCTCTTTCAAAATATCTCTCGTTTAGTTGGCCTCTCACTTTCTCATAAAACTTCCCACAAAAAAATAGAGTTCCCGCATCTAACTTCAAAATCTGAGTCAAGAGGTGCTAATGGGTGGGTGCGTAGAGTGAACTCGTGACTGATGAGAGAGAGCAAGTTTTTAGATGATGAGTGAGAGAGAAAACCAATTTCATTCCCTCCAATGTACAAGAACTAGAGACAGAAACACTAACTAATTTTCAGCGAGAATTCCATATAAAGTATTTTTTTTTCTTTTTTTTAACAGTAACGTACAACTTATCATTAATTTATATATAAAATACAAGATGCTCAAGCAAAGACACAATATTACATAAATGTAGTAACCAATAGAGAGGGAGTATAGATTCCTCCTTTGGCAAGAATATCGGCATTTTCATTCGCCTCTCTATAACATTGTTGGACCGTTGCCATAGAGGTTGATGAAATATCTCAAATTTGATGAAAAATAGTTCTTAATCTCCAAGGAATTTGGGCCTTTCTTCTACTCCAGACAATAACATTTTTCGAGTCTCCTTCGATAATACTGCCCCCATTCAAAGTGCATAGCAATTTCAAACCTTCTAATAAACCATATGCTTCGTCCTCATTTGCTGTTGTGATACCACAAGGACCCGAGTAAGAAAATATAATATGGCCCAAATTATTTCTAATGAGTCCACCATAGCCGACTGGCCTTGGATTGCTAAGTGAACTTCCATCAAAATTAAGTTTGAAGGAATTCACTGGTGGTGGTATCCAAACAACTTTACCACGAGTGTTGGTGGTAACACCCACAGTCGCCACTGCCAAATGATTGCTAATTGTAAGACTTTTAGAATAAAGCTACTATCCTTATGTGCAAGGAACCAATCAGCTACAACTGACAAAATATTCGATTTTAATGTAGACAGATCTGCATTTATACTATAAAAAACTCTTCTATTTCTTTCCTTCCACTTATACTATCAAAGACTTTTAATGTAGACAGATCAACACTTATACAATATTAGTATAAACACCTCCACTAGCCTCATTAACAGATGCTAGTTGGTTTAAAGCTTTTAAGAAAACCTCAGGGAAAAGGTATTTCAATGGGTCATCTTCAATCCATTTGTTAAATCAAAAAAGTGGATTCTCTATTTCCAACTATTTTTCGGAATTACCGTAGATATATAGATCTCTCATAGTCAATACCTCTCTAAACATGGGACAAACTTGTCTTGTTTTTTGGACTTTTAATGAGACCAAAGTTCAAATCCATTATATATTTTTCTCTTAGAACAAGCACCCAAAAAGACTCGGGTTATGTATGGATCATCCACCACCATTTTACTACAAACACTAAGTTCATATGTTTCAGTCTCCTAACACTCAATCCCTCATCCTTCATTGGTCTACAAACTTTTTTCCAACTCACTAAATAAAATCTCTTCCTTCTTATGTCATCTCTTCCAAGAAATTTCTCATATTTTTCTCCAGTTGTTTTTCAACTTCTTTTGGCATCTTAAATAAAGACATAAAATAGATTGGGAGGTGAGATAAAGTGGATTTAATCAACGTATATCTTCCTCCCATAGAAAGACTTTTAGCTTTCCAAGTGTTCAGTTTCTTGTCAAATCTCTCCACCACCGGATCCCAAATTGATATTGAAAGCCTCGAATCCACTAGGGGAATTCTTAAATAAGTACAAGGTAAGGTTTTAACACTACAACCTAATAAATGTGTCATTCTTGATGCTACCATTTGTGGATAGCTAATACCAATGAGCTTGGTTTTACTCAAATTAACTTTAAGTCCAGTTGAGAGTTCCACACTTTTCAAGAAAATCCATAGGCAAGAGATTTCTTTAACCATGATATCACAAAATATAATGGTATCATCAACATACTGTAAATATGATACTATAAGACCATTATTACCAATATTAACACCTGATATAATCATTTACACTGTCAATCCATTAAGCATGACATTGAAACTCTCAGCTACCAAAGTATATAAAAAAAATGAAAGAGGGTCCCCTTGTCTCAATCCTCTTGATCCTATGAAAAAACCAGTTGCTTTGCCATTAACAATAACTGAAAAATGGGTAGAGGACTGACAACCGTCAATCCACAATCTCCATATTGAACGAAATTCCATTTTAGCCGTGATACTGTGTAGTATCCCTCAATTAACCTTATCATATGCCTTCTCAAAGTCTAGCTTACAAATAAGGTCCGGTTTGTCATCCTTGATTCTTGAATGGATACATTCTTGCGCAACCAAAATACTATCCATAATTTACCTATCCTTTAAGAATAATGATTGTGATCCTTTAATAATCATGTGAATCACCTTGCGCAGTCTATTAGCTAAAATCTTTGCAATGATTTTATAAAGACCGCCAATAAGATTAATAGGTCGAAAGTATTTGATCTTTGCAATGACATTTTTCTTTGGAATTAAAGCAATAAAAGGGGAATTCATGGCAATATTAATTTTACTCATCCAATAAAATTTTTTCAATAACTGAACAATATCATCTTTCAAAATATCTCAAAAAGATTGAAAAAACGCCATTGGGTATCCATTTGGGCCAAAAGCCTTATCTCTGCCTAGGCTAAAGACTGCATCTCTAATTTATTGCTTTTCAAAATTTCTCTCCAACCACTTAGCTTGTTCTAACGGTAACCTATTAAAATGTAGATCTTGAATGGATAGTTGAATCTCATTATCGGTCCATGAGACTTCTTGAAATGATCAACCAGGGCCCTTTCAATCTCTGACATGTTGTCATAGTCTATTTTTTCAATACAGAGGTTTTGAATTGAGTTACCCATTTTTCTTGCATTAGCAATGGCATGGAAGAATCTCGTGTTTTTATCGCCCTCCTTGAGCCATTTCACACGAGATCTTTGTCTTTAACGAATTTCCTCCAATTTAAGCAACTATTTATACATAGCCACCCATAAGCTTCTGTCTCTGAATTGATCATGTGTTAGAGCACCTCTCATAACTGAACATTATCTAACTCCTATATATGAGACTTTGTTAGCCCGATTTTAGATTGTAAATTTCCCCAAACATTCATCTTCTATGTAATAATCATTTGGCTCAATAGTTTGAGCTTATTTGAAATTTGCAAAAACCTTTCCAACCATCAATAGTAGTATTTTTCCAAAAATCTTCAATTAGGTTGAGTAAAGATCTCTCTGATAGCCGAGCCAATTCAAATCTAAATGGGGATGATCTAGACAAAAAACCGTTAGTGTTAAGGAGAAGAGGGATATGATTAGAAGAAGTTTTTGGTAGGGCTTTCACACTTATTTTTGGGAAACGAGTAACAAACTCATAAGAAACAATAAACATGTGTAACCTTATATCAAAATAGGATATTGTAAATTATGTTACTTTGATGAAAAGATATGGTAGACTGTTAGCTTATGCGATGTATTTGCTAAAGAATTGTGCTACATGACTCCATGTTATGACACCTACATAAATCTTGGGGGATGGTTATAAATGGCATTGTATAGGCCGGAATACATGATGTTTGATTTGCTTACTGGGTTCTATAGCTCATTGCTTTAATTTTCTCTGTGCAGAGCAATAGC